AGGAAGAACACCTTTAACAATCTCTGCTTCTCTTTCCTTGCACATCGCTCCAAACTCCTGCGTAGCCTAAAACGAAAATGTCAATAATAGGAATTAAAAAAAAAAAAACAAACAAACAGGTAGAAATACCTTACAATTTAGTACAATCAAACTTTTGCTTTATATTTTAGTATTTGTTCATGAAACTAGGAACTGGTTCATTTCTTGTAAATAAATCTCCACACATTAATTTACTGCAGTTATTCTTACAGACCCTCTCTCTGTAAAAAATGCAGAAAACAACAGATCATTCTAGAGATTTTCCACGGCATCCTCGTAACTGCAAGCAGTTCAAATGTAGTTTTATGCAACATTTAAGGAACATATGCCAAAAAAGTTAAAAGAGTCACTGTACATCTATAAAATTTACTAACATGAAAATGCAGCAGTATTTTGAAAGCTTCCTCTCTAACCATTCCCATAAAAATATACCTCTTTCAAAGCAAAGCTTCAATAAGAATTTTGCATAAATTATTATTAGGCCTAGTAGCCTTTTTTCATTTAGTTGTATAGTGTCTGACTTCATCACAAATTATCTCGGGGGAAACTGACCCTACTGAAATCAAGGAGAGTTTTTCAATGTCTTCAGCAGATTAAGGTTTTCACTCCAAATTATTTTTCTTTTGAAGGAAAATTTGTAAAAAAAATCAATTTTCAGGGATGAAGGATACACCTACCTTTAATTTTGTTATGACATCTCTTTTAGATAGTTTTCGCAATACCATTCGAAAGTCAGCATCTACAAGACTGTCTATTTCTTCTGCTCCTTGAACTGCAGGAACATATCCTAGGTCGCTCTGAGATGTTCCAAAGCCGATAAATCCAGGCACCGTTCCACGTTCTTTGGCAAGAAGCTCTGCAGCTTGACCACTGCTAGAAGGCTAGTATAAAATGAGGAGAGAAAATATGCATTAATTCTCTAGATCCTTTTAAATCCCTCTACTTCTAACTAAAGGCTGGTTTTCAAAATCATTTTCATAAAGGTCTTCAGGGGGCTTCAGTGAAAGCCACCTTCTATCCGTGGATGTCCCGCCTGCCTTACAGCCGCAGGAGCAGACCAAAAAGGCCCAGACCACAAACTGACTGACCCTCCCAAGGCCAGGGCTGTCTGCTGGAGAGAGAGACAGAGAGAGAGAGAAAGAGAGAGACAGAGTGTGTGTGTGTCATATGTGGTACATGGTGTGTATAGTGGGCATGTGCTACATCTGTGTGGCACGCACGTGTGTGTGTGTGTGCGTGTGTGTGTGTGTGTGGCCGCCCCCCAACGGACGGGAGGGCCCGCGCGGGGGTCTGGCTGGCGCAGCCGCTCCCGAGGACCCGCTCTGCCCCCCCGACTCACGCGCACGTTGCCCTTGGTTCGCTGCTTGTTCTTCCCCCCCATGGCGGCGGCGGCGGCGGCGACAGAAGCACCCAAACCCGGGCCCGGACTGAGCGAGCGCTGGGCCGGGAGAGGGAGAACTGGACTTCCGGGCCGGGGTTTCCCCGGGTGCTGCGTCACAGGCGGAGCCCAAGCTGTCTCGGGGTGGGGACGCGTGAGGGTGCATGGGACTCTTTGCGCCTGCGCGCGGGTGCTGTCGTGTTCTCGCTTTAAGAACACGGAGAGCAGCTCTGGGAAGGGGACAGGGTCTGCTGAATCCTGCAAGCGTGCAGAGACAGGGAGACCACGCGGCATCCACCTCCTCGCCCCTGTGACCAGCCGTGCTGCGATCCCGCATCGTGCGCGCTTCTGCTGTGGCCTGAACCTTGCAAGCTCTGCCCATGCCCGCTCCAACCAGCTGCCGGAACTAGGGCCTGGCAAGTGGCGCAGGCTCCAGGTGCTGATTTAGGAGGAGCACCAGAAGGAGGGCTCACGGGAGGCTAGGCTAGGGTAACACCTGCACCCAGAGATAGCTAGGAGACACGCTCCCGCTCCTCCCTAATTCTTGGCCCTCGCCTCCCAGGGAGCCAACCTTCCTAGTTATACCTCGGAGTGTATTTATTTTGTTTATTAATATATTCAGTGCTGCAGGTCAAATCAGTTCCAAATCGTATCAGTTGAGTTCCAAAAACCATATCAATTGAGCAAGCAGAACTCAAGTGCTACAACTGGTGATCATCCCCCCTAACTCACCCTGGGACTTCAGATACTCCAAATCCATCAGCAGGCGTCCTATGTGCAAGACCAACCACAGAGGTCTTGGGACTTGGATGCCCCAGGACTACACTTGATCTGAGCCAAAAGGCCAAGCAGATGTTTTACCTCAATAGCCTTGAGCTCTGTTGCGCTCAAGTTTGAGGCCATAGCAGAAGGGCTCAGAATGCAGCCATGGCAGATTCCAACACATCTGTGAATTCAGCTAAAGACCTGGTCGCAAAGGCACAAGAAGAAAGGAAGAAAGGAAAGGGAGGCAGGCAGGATAGATAGATACCATGTGGTCTCTTTGACTCTGCACAGTTGCAGAATTCAACAAAAATGATTTTTAAAGGGATTTATTCAGAAGTCCTCACACAGTCAAGGAACTATGAGGTGACTGGAATAGCAGAGATGTGGTGGGAGCTCGCATGCCTGGAGTACTGTCGTGGGTGGGTATAAACTGTTCAGGAAGGACAGGCAGGGGAGAAGAGAAGTTGCGCTTTACAGTAAAAGCCATATGATTGCTCAGAGCTCCAGTATGAAACTGGAAACCAGCCTGTTGAAAGTCTATGGGTTCAGGTTAGAGGGGAGAGCAATAAGGGTGATGTACTGGTGGGGGTCTGCTATAGACCAGCAGATCATATGGTGACCACCTCTTCCAAATGGAAAGGGAGGACAAGTGCCTGCCTATCCTTCTCCCCTCTGCTCCTGTTGGCAGCACAGTTGGAGCAGAGCCTAATGGACTGAGGATGGCTGCAGGCTGCCCACTGCAGGCTTGGGGCTCATTGCCCCACTGCCTTTCCCCTGGGAGCCGTGCACCTGCCATGTGCCCCTGCTTGCCCAGTAGCTGCAGGGGCACAAGTCCATGCTGCTTTCACCCCACTACAGCCAGGTGGGCAGGGGCACCTTGCCATGGTGGCGTGAACAACATAGGGCTCCCGGAGGAGGGCAGCAGGGTGGGAAGCCCTGATCCTACAGCAAGCAGGCAACCCATATCTGCTCCATGCACAACTGTGGGGGGCACACCCCTCAATTCCTCCCTGGGAGTGCACACAGAGGTGGAGAGTCACCCCTACCAGCAGCCCCTTGATTAGCTGCCCATGGCTCCATCCTGCTCCTACCCCGAGCCCCAGGCCCCATGTACTGCAGTGACTGGGCAGTGCCTCCAGCCCCTGCCCCATTCCCTCCCTCACCATGGGGGCCATAATCTCCCCCCCCCCCCGCATGGTCTCTCCCCACAACAGATTTACCTGCAGGGAGCTGCTGTCCATGGTGCCCAGTTGTATTTCCAGCCAAGTGCATGTGTTCAGGCGCACACATGCCACTCTTGGCAGTCCCAAGCAGCCTGCAAGAGGAAACCTGCCACTTCCCAAACCTGGATCCCTGCAGGATACTACAAATCCAGGACAAATGCTGTCCCAGGGTCATGCAGCCCAGGACCAGGACATGATGTTCCCATTCCAGGACTGCCTGCCCAATTACGGACAGGTGGTCACCCTGCCAGACCAAGTGGATGAGGCAGATGAGGCTTTCTTCAGACAACTAGCAGAAGCTTCCAGATCACAAGCCTTGGTTCTCATGGGGGACTTCAATCACCCTGACACATAGGTGGCACATAAGGGGGGCACATCCCCCCCCCCGAGATTGACCCTCACCAGCCGGGGAGTGGGGGCACCAAAAGAAGTGCCAGCCAGTGCCCCCCTCCTCCCCCCGCTCCGAGATTGGCACAAACCATCCCGATGTCCAGGAAGAATAGCAAATATGGCAGGTGACCAGCTTGGCTTAGCAAAGAACTCTTCAGTGAGTCTAAACACAAAAAGGAAACTTATAAGAAATGGAAGCTTGGACAGATGATGAGGGAGAAGTATAAGAATATTGTTCGGGCATGCAGGGATAACATCAGGAAGGACAAAGCACAACTGGAGTTGCGGCTGTGAAGGAGGCCAACAGCATATTGGGCTAAATTATGAGTGCCAGCAGATCAAGGGAAATAATTATTCCTCTCTATTCTGTGCTGGAGAAGCTACATCTGGTGTACTGTGCCAGTTTCGGGCTTCCCACTACAGAAAGGATGTAAAAAAGTTGCAGCACAGAGTCCAGCCGAGTGGAACAAAAATGGTGAGGGGGCTATGGCACATGACTTATGAGGAGAGGCTGAAGGAACTCAGCTTATTTAGTCTCGAGGAGACTGAGGGAATTTAATTGCAGCCTTCAACTATCTAAAGAGGGGTTCAAAAGAGGATGGAGCTAGATTGTTCTCTGTGGTGACAGATGACAGAACAGGGTGGGAACCTCCAAAGCAGAAACTAACCTCTGCTTTGCTAACCACCTGAATGGGTGTTAAGCCAAGGCTCTACCAAGGGGAATGCACATGGGGATGCTTGCACCGGGACCCCAACACAAAGGCAGCCGGATCCTTTTTTGAACCCATGTCCAAACATTTCCGTGCAAATTGCAGAGCCGACCCCATCCAAATTGATTTCAGTAAGAGGTTCTGGCAATCTTTTGGGCAACTATGGAGATTTCCAGCCAACCGTAAATAACTTCTGTAGGGTGGAATAACCCCATTCCAGGCGGATGGAATGCAACACTTTGAGAAAGCTTAGAACCAACATGGAATTATAGTCTTGAAGGCAACCCCACTATTTCCTTAAAACATGTAAAAACCACCTGGGGCCTAGAAGAGGTTTTAACTCTTAATGTTAATTGCACAGTGTAGTGTAGAGTGTATTAACTCAGTAATCCTATTGCTATTATCTTTATCACCCAAAGCATGCGTTTTATGAAACAAATGTAATTTAAATCTTTAAAATGCCCAGTGCATACACAGAGGGAAAAAAAGAAACAATTAAGGTTCAGTGTTTGATGCTTTATTATGAACTGCTTCATGACAACTTTGTTGAAGTCTGACTCAAGCTATTGTAAGCTGACCCAGCAAACACTTTCTTACACAAATAGTGCTTCTGATTTCTAAGTGTATAGGTTTGCAAAGTGTAAATCCCACATAAGGACAGTTTTTATTGCCATGTGGGGTACAGTCTTGGCCTAATGGGGACTCAATCAATGTCCAATAATAATAACAAATCTATTACAGTTGATTCTTTGGAGCAATTCAAATCCCTTGCCTTTGCAAACAGTTATCCTGTTATTTTTACTCATTTGTTTCAGAAAAATGACTTGCATGAATAACAGGCAGAGGCCAAGCCCTGTTTTTGTAAAGCACCATATTCACCCAAGAATAGGATAAGCAGTAAATATTAAGTAAAAATAATAAAAATGTCTGCCATCAAAAAGTCTTTTGGTACATATGTAAACATAGTGTTCAATTATGTAAAAAAGTCAGCGTTTCCTCAGAGAGATTGTCTAATTAAAATAGCTGCAATTATTGGGTGAAGAAAAAAAAAAATCACACACCTCTGATTCCTTACCTGTTCATATATATAATTTCCTTCTCAATAACATCATGTTCTAGATCAATGAACTGCATTTAGGCTGAGTAGGCTGGACGAGTGGAGTGTGACTCATTTCTCAGCCAGATCTGGCTTGCAGGGTTTGGATCCACCTCTGAGTTCTTGATCCACCATGGGACAGCCTTGTGCACCAGACTGATCCAACACACAAGGTTGTAGCAACCAGCTGGTGAGGCTACCCATGGGTCTGGAAATGTAATGGTGGGGGAGCAGTAGCCAAGGCTCCCAGAGTTATGGTAATTAATGCTACCACTGCTTCCATGCCACCAAATTTCCAAACCTGTTGGGAACCCCACAGGCTGGATCTGGTGTGTGGTTGTACTTTGAACACCACCATGTTAGATCTCTGTCCAGTAATTCTACAGAGGCATTTTCTGTCCTTGTAATTAGGACATCTCTGATCTTGCCCTTAAAATTAAATTTTCTATCAAATCATTCATCTAATCATTTTCTGGATTGCTATTTGTTTCCATGGAAAACTAGATGCATCATAAAAATCATATTTCCCTTGCCGATCAATTACTTCAGAAGTGGGAGGGAAATAAGCTATTCCAGGACCACCGTACAATTTTCCAAATGCTTGGATGCTTAATAATCTAACGTCCTTCAACTCCAAAGTACATCTGAAAAATATCAGCACATCCTCTTTCATCTAAAAAATGATATAGCTGTCCCAGATCCATATGATTTCCTCTGTTACCATGTGCATCAAAAACTTTTTCTTCAAAAGATGAAAATTTTCTTTGTTTCTTTATTTCAGCATGCCCTGCTTCCAAAGACATGTCTTCTCTGTGGCGAATTAAAATTCTCTTCCATGTTAATTTTCTGACTCTGAAAACGAAAAAAACATGAATCTGTAAAATTCCATTTTTTATAAAGTATTATAAAACAAGGATTGTTTTTTTTAAACAAATTTCAGTTGTGCATAGATCTGGTACAAATACACCTGTTACATAGTTCATTGGCCTTATGTAAAATATCAGACACATGTAAACATTCCTAGAAACAGAGCATTGTTTCTATATACTTGAATCTCCCTAGTAATTGAAGGCACTTAGTTTCATTACTCCCAGAATAATGCAAGCAGGCAATCAACAAAGTTGAGATTTCAATATAATCATACACCTTGGTTTTGTCTATGTTAGGAATGTTCTTGCTCTTTCATTATTTCTAAATATGCTAAGTTGTACTAAATCTACACAACTCAGAACTACAAATAACAGAACTAACATTAAACAATATAAACAGAACTGATGGCACTGCATCCTAGCAGCTGCTATACCGATACAGAGATGAAGAGAACAAAAGACGTTTGTCAAGCAAGAACTCCTTGCTGGCTAATGAACAGACCCACATTAACGATCCTGACAGATGTGACAAGTGGCAGTAGTTGGACATATGAAAAGTTACAAACATGTTTAACTACTTAGTTATAAAAACTTTACCTGCATTATTACAAAGTGGTGACCATCTGCCAACCAAACCCACAAGACAAAACACAATTATAAATAATCATCTGTGTCATTTAAAAAACAGTAAAGCTGACCTTGCCCAGAACTCTTCACAAGTACTCTGAAGGCCTTCTACACAAACAACACCTGGCTTTCCTGGCATGCAAAACCCAGATAGAGAGAGCTCCTTAGCCCAATCAACAATATTCTTTCTTTTGTGTTTGTTGTAGATGTGATGACTATAAATCCACAACCTAGTAAAAATGGCATCTTCTGATTCCATGGCACTTGATGTCACCACTGAGGAAGATGAAGTCTCTTTGTCAATATATGCCGATGCATGATCTTTAACCCATTCCCTTGCACTTAGTACACAGGGCTCACCACTGCAGTTTCTTATCAAGTAGTTTTTCAGATCTGTGTTCAGTTGAATTTGTTGCGATCGACTTAATGAGGATGACCTAAGGGAGAAATATGAATTACCTTAAAATTTAGTTGCAATATATCGTATTTTTAAAAGGTAGGGAAATCAGAAAGTTCTAAGAATTCTGCGTTTTAGCTTACAATTGGTGGAAAATTACTGTTCTACCAATGTAATGCCTTTTTCTATATTAATACTATCTTAGATCTGTTAGGTAAAGTCACATTTTAGTCTGTGAGAGACAGGTTAACTATGGATTTTATAGTGACATTCACCTGTAAATTTCAAATAGGAAAAATCAGGTAATAAGTGAACATAGTTATTGTAACAGGGAATGTTTCTTGCTATTGTACTGGGACTGATGTAGTAAGTTTTATTTCTATATAAAAATATGTAGTACCTGACAGTAATTTCTGGTAAAACAGTTGGGTATTTTAGTGGCAATGCAAAGAACAACGAAAACTCTACCTGTGGGGGTGGAAAAGAACATTAAAATCTGATTATAAAAAAAAAATGTGAAATTTTAATTTAAAGAATATGTCCATATTACCATAGTGGCATCAGGAACCTGTGGCTTTACATTTAGGGTAAACTGAACTTTTGAAGATGGCATCTCTGAAGACTGATTTTCAACACAGTATTTTAGTTCTGCTAAAGCCAGCTGGTCTGTCACAATAAACTCGTCTTCATCAGGAAACATGCTAGAAAGAAGGTCCAACTCAGAAATCTGTACTTCAGCTTCTTCCAAGTTAGTCATTTGGGCTGTGTTTTGGCTGCTTCCTAAATAAAGAAGAAATTAGGAAAATTTTACTAATCTAATACAGAAACAGGCTCACTAGTCACTCCTGGAATTTTTCCATAAATAACATTAATTCATATAAGTCCACCAAAATCGATTCATAATGGCCTGCAGGGAGAGGGTAATACTTCACACACTATTTTTGCAGTGTCTCAGTGTTTACACTGATTTTAAGTAGAACCAGGATTTCACACTGTATTTACAAACTGAAACCTCTTTGGATTACTGAGGGGAAGGGGATTTGAATTCAGTCATTTGTGTTATTTCAGCACTCACAGGTTGCTTTGCCGCTGATGCCATCTTTAGGGTTCTATTATTCCAGCAACGTGGAATACAGATATACCCTATTTTTTCAGAATGATTATACTATCATAACAGGAACTGCAAAAATAGCATGGTCTTGCTCAGGGGATTGGCTCACTGCATGTATTTGAACACATTTATATTTATTTCACTGACAAAAATAAGCTTTGCCACCTTTTTTGCTACTGGCAGGCCTGTACATGCACATACAACAACAAAATGCATACAGCCACATTCCACTGAGAAAAAAAATTATAATATATAAGGCAGGTACAGGAGAGAAAAGCGGGCTCTCTCATTTCAGGGGGTCAGCGAGCGTTGGCCTCAGTCTCCTTCTGTGAAGCTTTAATTCTGAAACCAATAAAGTCTGAGCCTGGAAGGTGAAATGTTGCCGCACACACAGATTTCTGCTGACAACGATGTAAGGCATAAGCTCAGATTTAGTTTGGATGATACTAGGACAGCGGTTCTCAACCAGGGTGCCGCACCAACACCCACAGCCTCAAGATCCTTTCCAGGGTGCCGCAGAGCGCCACGCAATGTTAGCGCTGGTAGTTGTGCAAGCTGGATTTGAAATATAAACCCAGGGATTTCAAACAGAAACCCACACTTGTGGTCTTTTCCAGTTCTTGGCCACAGAAATACTCTTATTTCAGTCAAGAGTGAAAATGAGGAGCTGAGGGACAGGGGATGTGAGGCTGCCCTGGGGCAGCAAAGGAAAAGTTGAGAACTGCTGTCCTGGGGACATGGCAGAAGAGGCAAGGCAGAGATGCGCCTCACAATCTAGAGCAGCGATGTGTGGGCTTCCCCAGCCACACCTCAGCCCATACATGCTGAGGGCTGCCAAAAGCCCACCCACTCCTTTTTATTGCTAACCTCTTTTTTACCTTGTATTTATTACCTTTCTAGTGTTTTCCCTTTGGCCTTTTTGTCTTGCTTTCTTCCCCCTCCCTCCCCTGCCTTACTTTTTGTTTTCCGATTTCTACCCTTTTATATTTTCACTGACATCCTGTCCCTCTTATAGGTTCTCCCATTCCTGCTTTCCTACTATTCCCTTTTTCACAGACTGCCTATTTTTCACCTTGTATTTTATTTTATAGATTTTAGGGTTAGAAGCGACCTATTAGATCACTGAGTCTGACCTAGGCAGGAAAGAGTGCTGGGGTCAGATGACCCCAGCCAGGTGTTTGTCCAATCTCCTCTTAAATACCTCCAAGGTAGGGGAAAGCACCACCTCCACTAGAAGCGTATTCCATATTTTGGCAACCCTCACTGTAAAGAATTGCTTCCTGATGTCACCTCTGTTGTCTCCCTCTGACTTTTTTCGCCTCCTGCTCTCTTCCTCCTCCCTGCTTTTCCTTTTGCCTTGCTTATCTCTACCTATTTACATTTTTACTGACAACTCTCCACACTTTTAGTTTCTCTCATTCCTTGGAGTCTCAGACCAGTAGACTCCCTATGCCTAAGGAAGGGTGACTGCACCCAAAAGCTTCCTAAGAACTTTGTTCCAACTACTCAGTTGGTCTAATAAACGATATCACAATCTACACAAAGAACCTTGCCACCCACGCTGACACAGCCAGCCTGCAAGGTGCACCTCTCCCCTGCCTTCACTGAGACCAAGGCAGTGCTGTCAAGTCTTAAATATGCAATTATCATAATTGGAAGCTCAAAATCAGCCACCCCAAAAGTCATTTAAGACTCTCCAAGGGTGACTTGGGTTTTGCATACCCTGCTCCAACTAGCTGCCTCAGAAATTATTGTACATTTTGAACACTTACTATTAGTGATCACACAAGGGCTGAAATTATTGCACAAGTATGATATTAATGTACATCTGGCAACACCGGACCAAGGCAGCTAAGCACGGCTCCCTGCTAAAATGAGAATGTCCTGTCCCGCGCCGCCCCCCGCCGCACCAGCCCTGCACAGACCACTGCAGCAACCTACCAGGGACGAGGCTTTGGCCCCTAACGCAAAGCACGGAGAAGCCGTTGGGCGGGGCGGGGCGGGGCCAGGGGAGCGCGGAACGTGGCGCCGCCCAACGGATTCGAATTCCCCGAGCCCAATGTTCTGCGGCTGTGAGGCGGGGTGGGGGGGGTTGGCAGACTGCAAGGTCCAGATCGAACCTGCCCGGTCCTACAGCGTTTCCCTCCCCACTGATACTGCGCATGCGCCACACCTGCCTCGTCTACCCTGCTCATACTGCGTATGCACACCTGCGCCTCGCTCTCCTCGAACTACACATGCGCAACTCCTCCTTCTCCTCCCCCCAGTTGAAACTGACCATGCGCCCAAAATTGAGCCAACCAAGTTTCTGAACTAGCGCTGCAAAAGGAAGCGGAAGCGAAAGTGTATACGTCACCTTTCCGCCCGATTCCCGGCATGCAACGCACCGGAAGCTGGGCTCTCAAGGAACGTTCCTTCCGGTACCGGCGTAGCCGTGCCCACAGCTCCGCCGCGGCCGAGCGGAAAACCGGAAACCTGCACCGAACCTGGAAGGATGTGTCGTAAAACAAATCGGTTCACGACACTGACAGGTAAGGGCCCTTGATGCCGCGGTCTCTGCCCTGCTTGCTGCGACTACCCCGGACGAGTGACTTTCTCCTTTCGCGCGCGGGAGCGAGATACCTTGCCTCAGTCTCCAGTTCCGGCCAGCGGGGGCGGAGGGGGGAGGAGTGGAACGCTCTGCGGCCCTCCTATTGGTTCTAGTGGCTGTCGGTCATCGCGGGGAGAGGCGGGTGCAGGTGGCTCTGAGCCGGCCAATCGGAGCTGGCAGGTGGCCTATTTCGCCGAGCAAAGTACGTTGCGCTCGAGTGGGAGTGGGGAGAGCCGTTCGTGTGAGAGGGAGGGTGTCGGCGTTCTCCCTTGCTCGTCGGCGGCATGGATATGATGTGTCCCTGCCTAGCTCTGGGCCAGGCAGAGCTGGGCGGGAGTGCTGGGCACGTAAGGCGGGCCCTTGCAGTCCTAGCCTTGCAGGAGGAGTTGATTGCAGAGACCCCTGCCTTCTTGAGTCTGGGCAGCCTGTAAACACTGCCCTCAAGGCCTGGTTAGTGTTTCAGGGCAGCAGCTCCTGGTTCTCTTGGCAGTTGTTCCCCGAGCCAGTGTGGCCAGAAAGGAGAGTGCCCCCTGGGACTTCTTTTCCCTAAAAATAAAGGGGGCTGAAAAAATGCCTGTTAGGAGTCACCTTGGAGTTCTACTCTTGTCTGCCTCCAGTCACAGCTCAGTATGGGTTTGCAGACCTGTTGTTTGCCTAAGGCTCCATTGAGATGCCTAGGGTTGGGTGCTTCTTGAGGATCTAGCTTGCTCCTGCAGTCATTGTCTGATTGTCTGAGGGCAAGCAAGATCAGGGGCATCCAAACCCCAAGCCTCCAAGTTTGGGCCTGCACACAGTATGCCTGCTGATGGACTGGGAAGTATTTGAAGGCCTAGGCTGAAAAATCTGAGGTGGAGGGTACTTGCCAGTTGCAGCGTCACATGTGGAGTTTGAACAGTTGAGTTTTGCTCAGTCGAAAGGATTTGGAACTCATCTGGCTAATTTGACCTGGAACATTAAAAAATTTCCAAAAGAAAAATCAAACTTGTTAGCTTTGGAGAGTATCCTCCATCCCAGGCTCTCACCGTGGGACTTCAGATACTCCCAAATTCATTGGCAGGCATCCTACCTGCAGGCCCAAGCCCAGAGGTCTTGGGATTCAGATGCCCCCCCAGATACTATAGGGAAGCAGCCTCCATTCTAGACTCTTAAGTCTGGGACTTCAGATGCTCTCTGTTGGTAAGGAGGATGCTTGCCAGTTGTAGTGCCATACATAGTATTTAGAACAGTTGAGTTCTGCCGGCTCAATCGATGTAATTTTTAGAACAATTGAGTTCTGCTTGGTCAATATGATCTGGAACTGATTTGGCTGATTTGACCTGGAACATGAAATATATTAATAAAAAAAAAAAGTGTTAGTTTTGGAGTTTATATAAAGAATAGATTCCCGTTGTGTTGGTTGTTGGGTGCGCCTTGTGAAGCAAAGAAGGCAAAAACTTTCTAGAACAGAAAGCTCTGTGCAGCACACAGAAATCTGAGCGTTCAGTATGTTGTCACCTGGTTGCAGTAGGATAAGAATGTTTTACCTTGTGTTGCTGAACATGGCCTCAGAGGTAAAAGACGTTTTCATTGAAACAAAAACAAAGATCTACACTTGATCCAAGCTGACAAGAAAATAAGTCGTTTGAAGATTTAATTGGGATGGAGCCCATAGCATACTTATCACACTTTAAAACTTTCTAGGCCTTATTGTATAAGTGTATGTCCAAAAAAAAATGTAGGGGAATTTGACTGAGTTTAACCCCTCTCTTACAAGCTGCAACATCCCTGTATAATGGGTAGGCAACGTTTTTTGGCTGGAGTGCCAAAAAAAACCCTCAATGCCTACCTTGCTGGTATGGCTAGAGCAACGGGGAGCTCGGAGCAGCAGGCAGCTTTCTGCACTCCCTGCTGTGCCCTGCTGCATTGGGTTCCACATGCTGCTCTGCAGAAGCCACGGCGAGGGCTGCACAGCAGTGAGCATTGTTGGCACCTGCTGCCTCTCCGGAGCCTGGGGCTGGGTCGGGCTGGGAAATAGCAGCTGTTTGCAGCCTCCCAGCTGCAGCTGGCTCAGGTTCTGGGTAACTGCTGGTAGCCACACAGTCCAGGCTGCTTGCAGCAGGGCTTCCATCCTCCCAGCCGGCTGCTGGAAGCAGCCGAGGCTCCCCGCTGGCAACAGCTACCAGGAGGCTGCAACAGCTGCTGCCTCCCCACCCCAGCCCCAACACTTGCCGAGGAAAATGGCTTCACGTGCCATGCTCGGCATGCGTGGCGGGGTTGCCAACGCCTGCTGTATAATCTCACTGATCTCGGGGCTTAGATCACCTGGAAAAGCCACATTCCAGCGTACGTTAGAGGAAACTGTTGTGGCTTTTATGTATTAAAGTATTATAGTAGGATTGGAGTGTTCAAGCTGTAATGGTCTAGGAAATGTGAGAAGGAAAGACTTATTTTGATGATACTTCTGTTGGACCAACTGTGTAGTTGGGAGAATTGCTACACAATCTTTTGGACTCTGATCTTCAGTATAACTATTTCAAGAAGACAAACTTATTTCAAACAACAGGTTAATTTATTTGGGATGTGGTTTTTGGTCTTATTGGTGCTGTTTTACGTAAAACCACCTATAAATAAAATCTGCTAACTTAATATTTTTATTTCTTCTATAGGTCATTTTTCTGCGTAAGAAACACTACCAGACATTAACATGGGAAGGAAACGAATGAAAGGCAAAACAGCGCAGACAGATGAGTCTCTGGATATTCAGGGTATGTTTCATAAATACAAACATCTTCAAAAACCTCAATAGTCCTGTAGGAGGAAATGTTTAATTTAACTTTGAACTGCGTACAATTGAAATCCCATTAATAATCGTTAGGCCAGGGGTTCTCAACCAGGGTGCCACACAATGTTAATAATATTATGTGTATAAACATGTTTCACAAGATAAACCCAGAGATTTCAAATAGGAATCCATAGTGTTAGAAACAGTCTGTCTTGTGTGGCATTTCTGAGTTGCTTACAAGAAGAATTTCTCTTTTTCTGGAGTCAAAAATAAGTGAACAGTTGGAGCTAGCATTTCCAATGGGTGTATCAAGTCTAAAAAGGTTGAGAACCACCGCATTAGGCATTTACAATAGTTATTTATGCAGCTTTGAAGAGATGATTACAGAGAATGTGTACACAACTGAAACAAATCCTTCATGGCTCTTGTTCTAAACTTGCTAAGAAATAAAGTAGAATAAAATTATTACAGAATTAATATTTAGTACCTGGCAAATCCAGTTCTAAGAACTATTTCTTTCACAAATAGTTCTTTACTTATATGCTTGTCATCCCATCGAATTTCATGAGGTTGCTGGCTGGGCAGACATCTTGTAGAGCTGGTTTCAGAGTGTACTAATGACAAGTAACTTGATACACTCTTGATGCTGTTTTTAATGCTTTTGGAAAGTTTATTTTTGTTTGTTTCAGTAGCAGAAGGATATGATTGAAATGCAAAAAACTTTATTGTGTTTCTGAGGATCTCTTTCATTTGCCAGTAGCAGCAGCTAATTTTGTCTAACTTCAGTTACCTTTTTTGTTTCTGCTTTCCCACTGCCTTGTTTTCCACACCACATGTAAGCCACCATGGTGCTTTTTAGGTCATTTGGTGAAAAATCCATCCCTTTCCTCGCCCAGCCTCGCCTTTTTTCTTTTTCTTTTTTTTTTTTAATTTAAGTACTCCTTAAAACTGTTCCCTAAAACACTCCTACAAGCTGAGGTAGTCCATCTGATAGCCTGTAATTGAAACCAGCTTACAGAAAACATGATTACAAGTTGTCATAACTTCAAAAATGTAGTTGCAGTGTATATACAAGAACTATAAAAATCATAATTTGGTTTGGAATTGTAGATTGAACTCCCACTCTTAAAATTTGCTAATATTTATAGTTTGCAAATATATATCTTTATCTTCTTAATTAACATGGGTTTCAGGATGTTACCGTAATACAAAGTTGGGAGTCAAAGCTCTACTGTGGTAGGCACTGCACAAACATTTAGTAAATGTGAGTCCATGCTACAAAAAGTTTTTACAGTCCAAAGCTATAATCCAGCAAAGTGCCCTGAAAAAGAAGAAAGATTTCTGAGCTATAATTCTAATATTACTAGCCAACTGCCTGTCAAGAATGGCGGTGGGGACAGGGATGGAGTACCCCCCTTCCCCCCACCCCAGTCCAGGCCCACTCCCCCTTCCCTCCTGCTGCTTGCAGTCCAGGCCCACTCCCGCTCCCCCACCCTCATTTTTGATGGGCAGTTGGCTAGTTCATTGTATAAGGACAGGGGGGGAAAAAAGTATTTGAGGACAGGCACTAGAATGCTGTAGGTACTTGTCATTCCAGTCGCAAAGTGACCTGAAAAGTTCATTAAAAGGAGGAGCTATGAAGATTTGCATGTTTTTAGTTACTTTGCTCTGTATACTCCTCCCCGCCCCCATAAACAGTGCTTCCATCAAATGGTTCATCTCATCCAGGAAAATGAAGGCATTTGCCAGCTGCAAAAAATTATTTGGAAAACTTAAATTGATTGCTTTTGTTTACTGGTTAACAGGCAAAGCAATAACTAGATGG